TAGTATTATATATATTTTTAAATCATTATTATTTTAGAGTATTAATTATTAATTATTTATAGTATTTAATTACTTATTGGTTTAAAAACTTAAAATTATAAAATAAATAGGTAAAACGAGTGATAGCTATCGGCAGGAAACAGAGTTCCATTTTTACCGATAACAATTTTAATTAGAATTTCACTCCATACGGCATCCGGTGTTATTAAGAAAACTTGATAAAAAAAATGACACATTAAACCAAACAAAAGTTTTAAAAAATATTCAATTGGATATATGCATGTACATATGTATATCCTTTTAAAGGGTTCACAAAACTACACCGACGTTTTTTTTTTAATTTACAAAAAAATGAAATCTGTAATAGAGATACAAAATAAAACTATTAATTAATTAATTAGTTTTTTATTTGAAAGCTTAAAAACATCCTGTGGTAGTTTTGTGATCCATTTACAAGGATATTAAACAATATTAATGAAAAATCTAACACAGATGAGTTTTATTTTGAGCATTTTGTGTTTGAGTTTTATTTTTTTCATCAAAAATAATGATTAAGCACAATGTTTCATTCAATTACTTAAAAATTATTCATCAAAGCAAAAAGTAAAACATTTTAATTTAATCATTCCACATAATGTTTGTTTTGTAACTTATAGTGATTAACACGTATTTACGATTCCAAATATTTATCACTTTAAGGATGAACCAGAAAAAAAAGAAATATTTATACGTGTCCGTTTAATCCAGGACAATTAAGGACATATATCCTTGCCAGTTGAGCTGCAATCACACGTAAGCCCTTCACAAGGCAGCTAGCAATATTTTAACAGAAGTCAGCTAGGCCCGCCAAATGAAAAACTGACATACAATTAACTTCACTTTCCCAAATATTCACTTAACTCAAAAAAAAAAACAAGGAAAAGGATTAGGATTCGGATGGGAAATCCTGGAGCGACTGCTAAGCTGCGACGACCGGAGGCGACTAACTTCTGTCCCCCGAAATGTCTGGGTTTTAAACCCATCGGAGGCACCCACACAATATTATGCATTATTAGGATGTATATAGGCGATAATCAGAGTCGTTTGGAGAAACAGATTGCCCCCATGCGCAAAACCGAAGAATTCCTATTATATAAAAAGAAACCACAGGCTGGATGGGCTCATGGGCTCATGGGCTCTTATCGCCGAGGAATGAAAAACGAGGCTGATGGTGGTGCGGTTGTACGGGTCTCGGGATTTATCTGGGCCTTGGGCTTCGCTCATTCCTTATCCGCGCTATTCCGGAACCCTCTTATCGCTTCTGAAGAACCACAGCTGGCAGTGATCTTGAATTCCTCATCCAATCCCACTTGGCGACGGGACACGAGTCGAATTGGGTCAACGTGGTGTTAAGTACTTCCGTTTCGATTGGGAATGTGTCAGGACAGAGCATCACTCGCAAATTCTAAAACTTATGTACTAGAATACTAGACCTTGAAGGTTTCTAGAAAAGCCGGCCTTGACTTAACTCAACTTTCAACTATTTTAAAAAGATTTTACAAGACTTGACTTCATGAAAAAATTTATAAATAGTAAATAGTATTGCAAAAGAGTGCAAAGTAGTAAAAGTCATATAGTAAATATGAACAGTTTAGTTATTTAAATTTAAATAAATGGCAAAACATTTATTTCTATGCCACAATAATTTAATAATAATTATCAGTACAAAGCCAGACAGTAAAAATGTAAAAGATGTAGTATACTATTTTCTTGATAATTATTTACACCGTATTACAAAAAACTCTACGAGTTCTCTCATACAAAAATACAACAAGATTTGAATGTAACAACCACAACAAATCCAAACACGTGCTGAGCAAAGATATAAGTAATGGGCTAGTAAAATATGTAATATACAGATAATACGAAGATGTTATTTCAATAACCACAACCAATTAGACACTAAGTACGCCTTTGATGTCTGTTTAACCATTATATCACCTGCGGTGTGCGGTTAAGAAACTATTATTGCTTGTCACTCACTCCACTTTACACCTTTATGTTGAAGGTCCTCTGATGCACACATCACCCCCTTCGCAGCCGCCTGCTAACTGCTTACCACCCAAGGTCACGCGTTTTGTGTACTATATGTACTACATGAACTACATATACTATATACTATATGGTGGCCGGCCAGCCTAAACTGCCTAAATTGACACAAAAGTTTGATTGGGTTTTTAACCGTTTAAGGATTATCGTATCGTATTTTTGGGGGAAAAACACCGGCCGGTGGACAAAAGTGCAGCGCAGTTTCAAAACAAAACTTTGGGGGGCCTGTTTGCTCTTGGGTAATCGGTGTTTTGGGTTATAGGTCCTCGGTTCTCGGTGCTCGATTCTCGGTTCTCGGATCTCGGATCTCGGTCCTCGTGGCGTGTTGCAAGTTGCTGGAATGTCCGTGTGCCACTGGCAGCCAACTGTCGGCGACGTTTGCCGCCAATCGACCCGCCAGCCAGTCATCCACATCCACAAACACACTCGCTATCCACTATCCACTATGCCATGGCCTACAACACCCGCTGACCCACCACCCCCCGAAATGCCGCCCACTGACCCACCCACCCACTGAAAGGGAAAAGGGGCAGAGCCAGTGGCAAAAGGAAAACACTACAGCTGTAGTACTGGTAGTACGGCAGTCGGTAGTACGGTAGTACTACGGCTCACACGGACACACATTCGTGTTGTGGTGTGCACTGTACCCAGTCCACATGGCGAATACGCAACGTGGACACGAGTGCGCCTGCGTCTGTTTTGATATGAAAAGACATTGTCCTCTTCGCTTTTTTTTCAGCCCACGAGATTGATGAGCTACGCAGGAAGGATTGGATCTTATGGGTTCCTACTCGAATATCTAGTAAGTTTATAAAGGATATTCGAAGGATATTTAGAAGCTTTGGAGAAAGGTCTGACTTTATCGGGTCACTGAAAAACTGGCAGTTTCGAAGAGAATTTAGAATTTTAAAACTAGTGACAGTAAAATAAGTTTATCTCTTTATTTTTCCTTTGCCTCCATAAACACGTATCCAAAAACATATACTTTGAATACGTTACTCATTGCATGATTAATTGTTTAAATATTCATTATTCCAGACCTACGAATTTGGGTTTTTTTGAAGATGTGTCATAAAAAGTGACTCAATCCTTCTGTTCCGGTTTAATAAGTGAAAAATATGTACTAAGTAAATTAAATTTTATTTAAAAATGTTGGTCTTTCAGCATTCTCATTCATTTTTGGCTGTCATATCCTCATTTCTGACTATGTTATGAGCAATTGTTAAATATGAATGTAGTACCCAATGACAATTATATTTATATTGCCTTTTATATAATTATAAACCAAAATAGCAATACTTACCTTACTTTAACATTTTATTTGTTATTTCATTAGATATCCGGAATAAGGCGTATCTTTGCATCATTTTAGACACCAATATAACCTATTAATTTATATTGAGCGAATCAAAATTATAATATCATATTAAATATAACTGAAAAATTTATAAACGGATTTTTAGAATTAAGTAAACAATGTATTATTCCAATATTTCAAATTAGTTATACATAGACAAATTCAATTAACTATAAAAGAAAATCAGCAAAACCAAACAAAAGTAGTTAAATATTTGGCAGGGCATTTGCATAGTCCTTCTGGCCGAATGTATGTTGTGGGGCAACCTTTATCCTTGGTCCTGTTTTCTTGCACACTTTGTTTGGCCTTGCATCGAACTAAATTGCCGATTTCAGACATCATCGATTATTCGGACCGATTTGCCACGCCCCTTGCCGCCAGGTCCTTCGCCCCTAAAACTGGCAGTGTCCAGGCCAAGTACAGTGGGGATTCGAAGGCGGCGGACTCAAGTTGATAATGGAGCTTTAAGCTTTCTGGATTCTGGCAAACTTTCGCGGGATGAAAAACACAATAGAAACTTTTAAGCACAAAAAAATTTCCTCGCCCTTGCATTTATTTCCGGTTCTTGTCTCTTCGCTTTTATCAATTACATTTATAATTATTCATTATGTATATGTCTGTATATAGTATATGCATATATGTATTGCCGTATGTAAATATTCATATTAATATATATATTTATTTTGTAAGATATCCAGCTGCAAAGGTTCTGGCCTAGGAACCAAATTCGCATTCAGAGGGGGCTTATAGAATGTTCAAGCGAATGATATATTCGTTATATAGATGGGATAAAGGGGGATTGATGGGGGATATGCGATTGGAGGCAGGCACAACCTTAACCGCCAATCCAGAAACAAGAGGGTACTGATCCGGGGCATCCTCCTACACAAAGGCTCAGTATTCATGCCCGCAAAAAATATTATTATTATTTCTCTGCCTCAAAAAGTTTAACAAGGTTATGGTACTTTATCTATACCCCAAGAAACTTAAAAAACTAGGAATGTTTTTGAGGGCATTAATACTGATCCCAGGCAGTTTCTACCGACGAACGTTCGGAATCGCTAACACCTTAATCAATTCTACGTGGCTTTGCTTTGGTAACTAACTTTGTTAACTAACGCACTGTGTCCTCGAACTGAACTGAAGTTAAAACCTAATTTGTGATTTCGAAATCCCTTCCCGAGGTGAACGAGTGCTTCCCCGGGGATAAGCCACAGTGCGCCGCCTAACTAAATCAATTGTAATGCGAATTATTCTACGTAATGCTCACACTCATACCCGTATTTCTAGGTAGGTACCTTTATGACAGATCCACCCACTTACAAACGATTTTTTACCTTTGGGTGCTTGGCGTTTTGGGGCAATTAATGATATTTATTTAAACTCTTGTTGGCAAATCCTACATGAACAACATCGCTGCTACTTAGACATTCAATGTTTGTATCCTGAAAGAAAATTTGTCTATCAGCCAGCAAGAGTTTAAGGGACTTTGGCCGGCCAAAGATCAAATTTATATTGTATTTGAAACAACCACTGATACACAGACACAGATATATACGCAGATATATACTTGATATTGTACGATTTGCTGGAATTAAATAATTACATAAATTCATTGAAGTTTTCATTTCGTTTGCAACACATCAATATCCATATAAGTTTAAGATTTGCCTTGGTATTTTCACAAGATTTCCGATTAGTATTCGTATTCGCATAGTAATTCGGTAAATTAGTATTTTGAAGTATTTCTTGTAGCAGTACACATAACTATTATCGTATAAATATAACACTCTGTTTCGCCTTTGCTTTCGGTTTTTTCTTGGGATTGAATGCGCGTATATATTTTATTGTACCACAAATAAATTACGTGTGATGTCCGATGTATGCAATATAATAGCTGCGTTTCACTTTGGCCCGTTTTTCATTCTGTATCTCAAAAGTAACCCTATAACACGACTATATTCATTTTCATACCATAACATCTTCATATATATTTTTATCGATCTATACTCGTATTCACTATTTGCATTTGCTTTTGTCTTTGTCTTATTCTTTGGTGTTTTCATTGCGTTTTCAATCTTAACCATTTGTTTCAATCTTTTTGCCTGGCATTGACCAATACTAATAGCTAACCGTAAACGGGGAACGAAAAAAAAATACAACTTAGAGTACACTCATTACGTTTCTACAGATAGGTCCTACGTAATCGTAATCCCTTTTCCAATCAAAGAGAGAGATACTTCTTAACTATGCATTTGCTTTCGGTTTCTGTCTTTCGCTTTCGCTATCGCTTTCACTTTCGCTTCTCAACACTGGCAACCGGCGCTATTGCACACGCTCCAACACTGGCGCCTAGCAGAAATCCGGTTCTATCGACCTAATGTCTACAAAAATATGTCTTCGCTGTTTTTAGGTACACGGGCCGGCCCTAAATGCTCGCTACACGGGTAATCTATACACAGATAAGTCAATATATATATATATTCCTATACTGTCGGAAATGAGGAAACTGTAACTAGACACACACACACAACAACCAAGCTAAAGTTACACATCGAGACACACATATAAAATAATGCTTTTTGCCTCGACTTTGGGACTACGTAGTTTCTGTATTTTTATCTGAGTAAATTATAGCGCTGTCTAATGATTCTATTTTCTCTACCACAATATATCCATTCCATTTATAAGTATGCTGAGAGCTGAGTTTGAGAAACCAGAGGCTTTGAGATATAGGTACTAAAGTTATTGGAGCGATAATAGCAAGAGAGAGGTACATTTGAGTCGATATTGCTCTTAAATAGTGCGGGTCGATTGGTCAGATGCAAAAAGTTTGATGGTCCTAGGAAGGGGAAACTAATCCTTGGGGCTGTTCTTTTCCCTGTACAGAAATCTCTGGAGATTTAAAACCTCATCAAAATGTATGCATGTTAAATAACACTAAAAATATACATTTATATTATTTTTAGTGTTACAAAAGTGCTATAGACTTTAAAAAGGGATTTAAAACCTCTAGAGATTTGTGTTCAAAATTTCGAAAAAATGTCTTTTGTAAAAGAACAGTGATATATATTCAAGCAAATACTCCCTGTTCAACCCAAAAATGAATCTCCCTTTCTGAGATATAATCTGAAAATAATCGACCCTATCTATTTACCTTAATACTTGTCGTTTTTGGTAATTGGTTTACATAGAGGTAAGCCCCATTTTGTTTTGCATTATTGGAGAAGTATTGAAAACCGTGTTGTAGGAGACCGTTTTAGTTAAGCTTTAGTTTTTGTTTTAGCTGCCGTGGTGCGAACTTCGAATCCCCGGATTCCTCTCCCTTAGGAGATGCTGCACGAGTTGCGCTTGGCGCCCAAACTCCGCTCCTGGATTCGCTGGAGGTGCTGCAGCTGGGCGGGGGTGGGGGCATGCGACCCGCCGCCGGAGGAGGCCGCCGCTGCAGCTGCCGCCGAAGTGGAGGCGGAGGCGCCACCGCCGGAGTTGTGGTGGTGCTGCGACTGGTGGTGGTGGCTGTGGTGGTGGTGGTGGTGCAACGGGGTGCCCGGCCCGTTGTTGCCAATCTGCTGCGGCAACGACTGGCGACGACGCCGCAGGGCCGGACTCAGGTTGTAGGTGATCTTGGCCTGGGCCAGCAGCTCCTTGAACACCTGCAACCGAAACTTAAAACTCCGAACTGCTCCACAAATAGGTGACCCCACTCACCTGAGTGATGTTCTCGTTGCTGGCAGCCGAGGCCTCTACAAATCCATTTTCCCAGTCCACGGTGACCACCGATTCTGTGGTGGCGTACTCAACCTGCAACAAAAAAGGGAAAGTATTTTAACTTTTATAAACTAGATAATTAATAGACAAACTCAAAGCATAAGTACAACAGAACGTTTTCATTTAAGCCTAAAATGTTTTAAATTGTTTCATGGGTGTATATTTTAAAATGGTTTTCCGATTTTAAAAACAACATAAAAACCAGGCTAAAGATAGTGAAAACCTTTTGCATTTTTTGGAAGATTTGAAATTATAGCTATCCCTTTTTTTGGTAATGTCAAGAAAAGAATGTAAACGGCAACCAGTTTCCAACTCAACTAACACAAATTAATTCATTTTGCATAAATCCAACCTCCACACACACCCAACTAAAAATCAATTTAAGCCCACACCACGAAACTGAACATGAACTTTATTATTTCTTATCGGCAACAAAAATCCTTATAGACGTCTAAATTGCGGCGATAAATGAAATAAAAAACGACAACAAAAAGTTGCCAGAGAATAAAGAAGGTAAAAAAGGGCAGGGATTTTGAGAAGATTTTAGGAAGGGGCTAGGAAATTGCTGACTTCGAAGTTCGAACCAAACCGAACCGAGCATCGGGGCTTAATTCTTCCAAATGAACAAACTCAAAGAGCGGCAGTGCACAACTACAACAAGAAAAGGGCAAGCGAACCCTCCCGAATTTAGAGCCCCTCCCCCCAATAAACCCCCCCCCCTCCTCCAAGGTTTTAAGCGGCCTATCCCAAAAAAAAATACAAAAAAGCAAAGGCAGTATCACAAAGGCGACAACAAAAAGTTGATTTCGCTTCGTTGAACAAAAAAATACACACAGTCTAAGGAGCCCTCAAAAAAGGAGTATTAGGATGAAGAAAATACACTCAAAGAAAAGTTTATGAAATATAAAGTTTAATTTGTTACGACAAAAAAAGAGAAAATAAATAAAAATAATATATAAAATGCATTATCTTTGGATATTTGATGGACTTGTTCAAACGATTTGAACATAATAAATTTCTAAATGCCCCACAACTGCTCAAATTCTATTAAGCTGCCTTCTTTTTGTTCTCTGTAGGGGGAGTTCGTTAAGAAAGGGGCTGAAGACAACTGGAGGGATACCAGAGTCTAAGCCAAGGAGCGCGACAGTCTGGCGTTTGCTGGCAATTTGCATTTTTATTATATCAGAACTCGGTTAAAGTCAATACACCCGAAGCAAGAAAAAGTGGAAAGGAGAGCGGTAAAAAGCATGCAGTGCGACCCCCAAACTACTTATGCATAACTACGTATAAAGTGGGAAAAAACGCACCAAATAAGTGACAAATAAAGCAAACGAAAAACCAGAAAGGAAGAAAACTTCGCCAAGCTGAAGTTTATATACCCTTGCAGATGTTACAAAAATTATATGTTATATATTTCAATAAAGCTACGTCGATATATATCGGAGTGCAGGTTTTTTTCTGCAATGCCATTTCTCAAAAATTTTCGAAAAATTTAAAAATGACTAAAAATAGAACCAAAAAAAAAAAAAAAATATTAAAAAAACACAGATTTTTAGGAAATCAAACCACGATCATTTTGAAGTATACCACTTTGAAATCGGATGTCTTTAAGAAAAGTTATGAGCTTAGAACTGCAGTTTTTTTGGCACTTTTCTGGCCATTTTTTGAAAATTTAGAAAGGGGTAACATCATTAAAAATGACAAATAATCGACCCCAAAAAAAACTTTTTAACTAAAAACACAGTTTTTTAGGGAATCAAACCACGATCATTTTGAAGTATGCCACTTTGAAATCGGGTGTCTGTAATAAAAGTTATGGGCTTAAAAGTGCAGTTTTTGGACCCTTTTCAGCAAGCCCATTTTTTGCAAATTTGGAAAGGGGTAACATCATATAAATGACGAATAGTCGACCCAAAAAAAAAAAATTTAACTAAAAACACAGATTTCTAGGGAATCAAACCACGATCATTTTGAAGTATGCCACTTTGAAATCGGATGTCTGTAAGAAATGTTATGGGCTTAGAAGTGCAGTTTTTGGACCCTTTTCAGCAAACCCATTTTTTGAAAATTTGGAAAGGGGTAACATCATGAAAATGACGAATAATCGACCCAAAAAAAAAAATTTAACTGAAAACACAGATTTTTAGGGAATCAAACTACGATCATTTTGAAGTATGCCACTTTGAAATCGGGTGTCTGTAAGAAAAGTTATGAGAGTAGAAGTGCAGTTTTTGGACCCTTTTCAGCAAACCCATTTTTTGAAAATTTGGAAAGGGGTAACATCATGAAAATTACGAATAATCGACCCAAAAAAAAAAAATTAAACTGAAAACACAGATTTTTAGGGAATCAAACCACGATCATTTTGAAGTATGCCACTTTGAAATCGGGTGTCTGTATGAAAAGTTATGAGAGTAGAAGTGCAGTTTTTAGACCCTTTTCTGCAAACCCATTTTTTGCAAATTTGGAAAGGGGTAACATCATGAAAATGACGAATAATCGACCCAAAAAAAAAATGTAACTAAAAACACAGATTTTAAGGGAATCAAACCACGATCATTTTGAAGTACGCCACTTTGAAATCGGGTGTCTGTAAGAAAAGTTATGGGCTTAGAAGTGCAGTTTTTGGACCCTTTTCAGCAAACCCATTTTTTGAAAATTTGGAACATCATATAAATGACGAATAGTCGACCCAAAAAAAAAAATTTAACTAAAAACACAGATTTCTAGGGAATCAGACCACGATCATTTTGAAGTATGCCACTTTGAAATCGGATGTCTGTAAGAAAAGTTATGAGCTTAGAAGTGCAGTTTTTGGACCCTTTTCAGCAAACCCATTTTTTGAAAATTTGGAAAGGGGTAACATCATAAAAATGACGAATAATCGACCCAAAAAAAAAAAATTAAACTGAAAACACAGATTTTTAGGGGATCAAATCACGATCATTTTGAAGTATGCCACTTTGAAATCGGGTGTCTTTAAGAAATGTTATGGGCTTAGAAGTGCAGTTTTTGGATCGTTTTCAGCAAACCCATTTTTTGAAAATTTGGAAAGGGGTAACATCATAAAAATGACGAATAATCGACCCAAAAAAAAAAATTTAACTAAAAACACAGATTTTTAGGGAATCAAACTACGATCATTTTGAAGTATGCCACTTTGAAATCGGGTGTCTGTATGAAAAGTTATGAGAGTAGAAGTGCAGTTTTTAGACCCTTTTCTGCAAACCCATTTTTTGCAAATTTGGAAAGGGGTAACATCATGAAAATGACGAATAATCGACCCAAAAAAAAAATGTAACTAAAAACACAGATTTTAAGGGAATCAAACCACGATCATTTTGAAGTACGCCACTTTGAAATCGGGTGTCTGTAAGAAAAGTTATGGGCTTAGAAGTGCAGTTTTTGGACCCTTTTCAGCAAACCCATTTTTTGAAAATTTGGAACATCATATAAATGACGAATAGTCGACCCAAAAAAAAAAATTTAACTAAAAACACAGATTTCTAAAGAATCAGACCACGATCATTTTGAAGTATGCCACTTTGAAATCGGATGTCTGTAAGAAAAGTTATGAGCTTAGAAGTGCAGTTTTTGGACCCTTTTCAGCAAACCCATTTTTTGAAAATTTGGAAAGGGGTAACATCATAAAAATGACGAATAATCGACCCAAAAAAAAAAAATTTAACTGAAAACACAGATTTTTAGGGAATCAAACTACGATCATTTTGAAGTATGCCACTTTGAAATCGGGTGTCTGTATGAAAAGTTATGAGAGTAGAAGTGCAGTTTTTAGACCCTTTTCTGCAAACCCATTTTTTGCAAATTTGGAAAGGGGTAACATCATAAAAATGACGAATAATCGACCCAAAAAAAAAAATTTAACTAAAAACACAGATTTTTAGGGAATCAAACTACGATCATTTTGAAGTATGCCACTTTGAAATCGGGTGTCTGTATGAAAAGTTATGAGAGTAGAAGTGCAGTTTTTAGACCCTTTTCTGCAAACCCATTTTTTGCAAATTTGGAAAGGGGTAACATCATAAAAATGACGAATAATCGACCCAAAAAAAAAATTTAAATAAAAACACAGATTTTTAGGGAATCAACCCACGATCATTTTGAAGTATGCCACTTTGAAATCGGATGTCTGTAAGAAAAGTTATGAGCTTAGAGGTGCAGTTTTTGGACATTTTTCTGTAGAGACCGTTTTCCAATATTTGGAAAGGAGTTACATCATTACAAATGACAAAAAGTCTACACAAAAATATAAAGCAAGATTTAACAACAGATTTATAGATAATTAAAACACAATCATTTATAAGTAATTCTAATACCCTCTGCAAGGGTATAATAACAAAACTGGGCGTAGAAAAGATAAACAAGCCCCAAATTAAGTTGACCAACTGTGACTGTTGCCAGCAAAAAAGGAAACAAATAAAAAGCAATGAGATTTTCAATTGATATACACAAAATCAGAGAAACCTAAGTAAAAAATGAACATAAAATGTGAGACATCTTAAGACCTTTTTACTTTTGAAAAGTGAATCAAATTCAATTGTCTTAAAATAATAAAAAATATTACTTTATTTACTGAGAGGAAAGTGACTTAGCTAATATTTGATGATTAAATATTTGATAACCTCAATTAAACTATATAATACAGACATTAAATACTAAATATACATAAGTAGACATATATCCTTTTTTTATCGACCACTAAAAGTTATTCTTTTTGATATGATGCAACCAAAATTACCGGTAAACTTTTCACATTTCGGTTGAACAACTCAAATTTCCGGTTTCATTTCTGTTTTTCGCATTTTAGTGCCCCGCTTTCGCTTTCAACTTTTGACAATCAAAGCGGAGTTTTCTTTTGCACTCTTCCGCCGCAAACTTTCCCGGGCCATATTCGTACCTTTTTTTGTGTGTGTTTTCCCTTAGTTTTTATGCCCGGAATTTATTAGAATCACTTTGGTGTGCTTTGGCCCGGAGGCCAAAAATTGGGCAAGGAAACTTATGCAGGCCAAATGATGCTCACTTAAGATATGCAAAGTACTTCGACTTCGGGTCGAATTTCGCATCATCTCGGTGGTTATTATTATTATAACATTAAAGATTCCTTTATTCGGGATTATTTTATTCCCGTGGCGGCTGATTGCGCGCAAAAGTTCGCTTCGCGGGCAAGCAAACAAAGAAATTGCAGCATGTAGTTGATTTTGTTGTGGTTGTAGCATCCAGTTATATTACGTATACGAGCTTATAAATGTATCGTTATGGCAATGACCCACAATAAACCTTTGTCCTCGCCGTTATTCAACGGAAAGCGAACACAACTGAGATCTTGGGGGCTTTGCAAATAAATATAATGGTAGGAAAGTTGTGATGGTTGGATTTCTTTAATTCCATATTTATGGGTATATATAACTTTTCCGGATTCCCAGCAATTTAACAATTTGTAAACTACAAATGTAATTTGTTGGGGATAGAATTTCTAATTGGCTGTCGCTGTGTTCCCATTCAAATGAATCGCATTCCTCGTTTCATTCATTTGCCTGCCGCTGGCATTTCTTTATTTTTTGTCTGTCAAATTCCTGCAGCTCGTTTCTTTCGGTGAAATTTGCAATGCAGCTGACAGCAAAAGTTCTGCAACTAGCAGGGGAAAAGGGGGGAAAGGGGAAAGGGGGCGGGGATCCAAGCTGCAGTTCTTATGATGCCCGCCGGCTTTCTACTTTTTTCTTACACAAGCCCCTTGCCTCAAATTTCCCTGAATGTTGCGTACTTTTCACTAATTATGCAAAAGCTGCCAAGGGAAGAGAGGAAACAAGGCGGCACAGCAAGAAATATAATTTTAAAAATTAATACGTTACGAACAATGAACTTGGTTAAAGTTTAAACCATTTATAATAAGCGAAGACAGTTTAAAAAAATTATCATTCATTTTGTAGGTATCCAAAAACTTGTTAAAATAAATACTTGCACAATAAATACAATCTATCGTTGTTGGGTTTAGTGTTTAATTATTTAAAATAGTACCTTTTGCCACTTCATTCCAGATGTTTTGCGCAGTGTAGCCACACTTGATGGCATTTCATTTTGTGTGACTTTCGCGCATAGTTTGCACTTTATTCCACAAGTCTGTCTGTTCGTCTGTGTGATATTATGTTGCATCCCCCCTTCCCCTGCTGCCACGCCCCTCTCATTTGCCACGGCCCCGCCCCCGCCTCCGCATCGCCCACTTTGACATTTTAAATGTTACATTTTTTCGTTGCCTCTGACATCCGAAACAGCTGGGCAGGCAGTGTTTTATGTCCTTTGGCTAAAGGATGTTAAACTGCAGCCACAATTAAAGCGAATAGAGTGCATAAAGTGAGTGCTCATATTGAAAACACAGTGTTTACACTGCGCTCATCATTTGCGGATTTTCAAGGCGCTCTTCTTAGTCAAAAAAATTCTGATTGTTTAACTGACTTTCGTTTGGCTTCCCACGCTGCCAGTTGGAAAAACTTTTGATTAAACTGTTTGTCCTTTTTCCATCCATTTCCACCCTCCTCGTTGCGCGCTTGGCAAACTTTACATAATTGCTTAAACGCCTCATATCCCGTTGCCAAAAAAGTAATTTTCGTGGCATGAGGGGGCGTGGCAAGAGGAGGAAGTGGCACAATGGAGCGGTTATTGTATAAACACGCCTTCGAGCAATTGCCACACAGAAGAGACAACAATCAAAGCGGTCACACTTTCCCCTTTTCGGATGAATAGCAATTAAAATTGATGCAAATTGGCAGGGCAGGCAAAACAAGTGACCTCTGTGTGTCCTCTGGACTCAGGATTTGAGACTCTTGGTTTATCTGGTCCCGTAGAACTCGCGGTTTTATTTTTTTGATGATTCAATAATCAACATTAGCAAATGTATTTCGAGGAAAAATATATTTAAAATGAGTGTTCTTAGGAATTCATGGTCTTACTTTGCTGAAGAATGATTAAGGCTTAAAAATATGTTAAGAACTCACCTCGCGTTCGGTTTCGCCATCTGCCAAAAGGTCAATCTTGTTGCCGACGACCACAATTGGCACTGCGGTGGTGGCCTTCGTCTCGTGGATTTGGTCGCGGATCGTGCGCACCTCCTCGAAAGTGGTGGCGTCGGTGACGTCGTAGACCAGGATGAAGGCATCCGCCGAGGATATGGAAAGAGCACGCATCGCCGGGAACTGGAGCAAAAGGGAAACAGCATTTCACTTAGATTACTTTGCATCGTATGGCCAAGTATGTAAAAGAGTTTCAACATTTTTTTTTATACTTTATTTCTATATTTTAAAATATTTTTTTTGATTTTAGCAATAAAATCAAGTGTTTTATAATAATAACTAATTAATTTAAGTGTGAACAAAACCAAGCCATTTGAAACAAAAGACTTAAATAGATGGTTTTCGCAGTCTTTGTTACTTGTCAACCAATTTGACCTTGAAACTATGACAATTAAACTTTTTTAGGTAACATGACACAATAATTTGAATTAAGAAAATGTTGCTCATTTATTTGTTTATTAACACCTTTTGTGATTGCTGAAAAAAAGGCCTATTTCGCGGAAACCTGTGGCTTTATTCATTTATTAATACCATTTGCAATTGCAGAAAAAATGTTGTAGTGCATGCAAATATTTTTTTGTCAAGTAAAAAGGTGCGGATGTTATATCTTTAATACGCCAAATTGTCAAAACAATTTCGCTTGCAGAGTGTTATAGACCAAATGACAGCAGTTTGACACATTTCGAAATATTAATATCAAATTAAATGTCACTTCAAATTAATTAGGAAAATATTTGTTTAGCCGCTTGGAAAAATGCAGTGAAAAACTCATCAATATATTTATTTGCGGAAAAGTATTGAATAAATATCAAGTAAATGCCAGCATTCCTCTGACATCAATTTAAAGGTGTTTTGTTTTTCTCAAGCAAACATCCATTTAAAATGCTTTTAGTCATGTATTCATTTTTGTTTTCTCAAAGGTGTCACAATATAAATAAATAAATGTAAAAGTTTCGTGAGGTAATAAATAGGTTATTTATTGTATAAATAAGAAAAAGCAAACAAGGAGATTAAATGAATGAATTTACAAGAAAGAAAGCAAACTTTGTCAGGCCCAGTTTATATACAAAAATTATTCTATATTTCGATTTCGATGATCGGAATAAGTTCAAGCTGGAATAAGCCATTTTAAACAGACTTTTCGATACGTCATTACGTAGATTGCCGTCCATAGTATTTATAATAATTTTTACATTTCTTAGCTTTCGATTGAAATGACTGAAAATTTACATGTGGACAAAAATATTTAAGTGCGAAAAAATGGAAGGGTTACCCCTAACTTTTGACTGAAAAGAAGACTATAATTTTAAGAATAGAAAATGCTTTCTGTCGCAATTAAAAGTTTAGGAATGTCTGCAGTGTGTAAATAATTTTCACAAAGGCTGGGAGCATGCGTAACCAGAAAAATGAGTTAAAGTGATTAACAGGGAATGTAAATTACAGCAACAGCAGTCATCAACGACAATTGTTTCCTCAATGATAATTTGCATAATATTACTGTCACACACACACAGGCACGAGCACATATTTGAATAATCACGGATAATAATGTAAATTTGGAGTTGTATGCCCGTTAAACATTTTCACACTTTTCACAATTTCCCCTCAAGTGGAAGAAAAAGCGAATGGAAAAAATTGAATCTCTCTCTCTGTTGTTAGCGAGTGTGCATAATTTTCTAATATTCCACTCGCCATCGAGCTGAATATTTTTCCAAAAGAAATTGCTGCAAAATTAGCGAAATATTCACACGAAAGTGCTTACGCATCGCAGCGCTTTAAATTGGATCATTTCCCGGTTTTTCAGCTTTTGTGATACTACATACATTTTTTTTTTTTTGGCCTTCAGCCATGTCGCAATATTTTAATAAAGTCGCAAAAGCGAACTGAATGGCGAATATTTGCAGCAACAGTTTGATGTTTTTTATCACCGGCCGTTGCACATTGGTCTCAAGTCCGAATTTCCTGACGAATTTTAGACATGAGCTAAATTTCTATTTTATTCGGATAGGAGTACTAATAGAATTGCCTTCCAAATATAAAATATCTTATTTTTTAAGTTAATAATAATAATAATAATACCCTAATGTGTGCTAAGCTATTCATTTTTTCCAATTAGTACCATTTTGGCTTTGACTACTTTGAACACATTGTTATATAACGTTTAAAAATTACCGGCCAAAAGAATGAAAGCCATTTTGCCATTAATGCAGACAAAAGCTTACCGCATTTTGCAATCCTAAATTCCTTAATTAATATTTACACAAAAGTGCGCCCCTGGTTGTCTCTGGTTTAATTAAAGGTCGTTGATGGCCCCACCACATCGGCCCTGACCTCTGCCATGTGAAGCCCCTTTTTCCCCTTTTCCCCTTCCCCCCTTCCACCCTGACCTCTGACCCCCGTCATAGAATGTTCACAATTGTGGCAGGATGCCCAACCCAAAACTGAGTTCGCATGTGTACAATTTGTGAATTGTGTTTTGAATCTTTCAAAGTCCCAGGACAACTGGAAGTTCTCCGCCGATTTTTGGGAAGCTCTGTCGATGTGGGAATGCACCGAGCAAAATAATTGGTTCTATGCATTTTGGATTTCACTTAAGTACCATAAAATATATTGACAAATCACTTAATATAATGTGATTTAATTCATAGCATGAAAAGCTATTGTACTTTTGTATAATTGAATAAAATGCTTTAAATAATTTATTATTTTTAGAAACCATGTATATAGTATTTACAACGCAATTTAAATATTTCTCCTATAGGTAGAAAATACCTCCTTTGAAATCCTTTGAAAAAACCTAATGTTTTTTCTGTACGCCATTGCTGAATGGCAAATTAATCATAACACAAATGAAACGAATTAGAGCAACGCACACACGAGAGATTTGAATGGGGGAAAAGACGGCGGAAAAGCGAGGGAAAGGGCTGGGGAAAAGTCTGGGGAAAAGCGGAAAAACTGCGGCGACAGTTCACTGGCATCGTCTTCATCTCCATTCTCGTTTGTCTGACGGTTGGCAGAAACCGCAACCACAGCATTTTGGGCACAAGTTACATACATACGTGGTGCTGGGAAATGCGAATGAATGGGTGGAAAAGTGTGGGAAAAGCCCAGCCAACTTGGCCCCGCCCACCCAGCACTAATGGCTTTCAAAATCATGTGCCTGCCGAGTTAGTTTCAAATTGAGTACGCACACAAACAAGCCGGAAAAATGGGGAAAAAGCAGGGGGAAATGCTGGGGGGAAAAGTCCGTGTTAATAAAAAGGCTACCATTGAAATGTGCAGGCCACGGAAAATGAAAATCCAAATGAAAAACCCCAACAAGCGCAAAACAAAAAGTGAATGGCCAAGGAAAACCCTCGAAGAAAAAACAAAATAAAAAAGACACAATGGCCAACCAAGTGTCGTGCAGTTCAGATAACCCAAAAAGGGAGAAATATAAACTCTGACCTTGTACCTGAACTTGAACCCGAACCCGAACCTGAACCTAAAACTGAACCCAAACCTGAATGAAAACCTCTTTCTTAGCAAATGGCAAACGATTTGAAATCGGAAAATTCACAAGCAAATGCCACACAAATTGCTATCAGGGTTAAATTAAATGATTCAGAAAGGAATTGCAACCTTTAACCTTTAATGTGTTAGGATATAAATTCATTTTTAAAATTTGTATACAAAAAACTAAAGGTATTAACTAAACCTAAAAGGACCGTTGAATAATCAGAACAGTGATTTCCAGTTACCAACGCGTTTAACTAGTTATTTACTTCTTCTATTTCCTCTGACCATTTTCCGGGAATTGTGCTCAGCTTTTATCCTTTTGGCTTCGGAGTTTAAGCTTTAAAAACCCATTCGTTGGTCCTGTTCGTTTTTTTTTTGTTCTCCATTGAAATTTGTTTAACTTTGCAATCACATGCTGCTGAATCATTTTCATGTGGCAGAGAATTTCCATTTTGGGGCACTTCCTTTCTCGTCTAAGCCCCACCTTCTTCTTCGTTTTTTTCCTAAGCTTTTTTCTTTAAGGAAAACGTATGTTTTCATCTCATCAGAAAGGAGTTGGGAATGTTTTTTTGCTTCCATTGTTATGATAGCATATTACTGTAAATAACACGCTCCAGATGGAAGAAGGAGTCCAATGGCAGCAGCTCATCTTTTGACTCTTTGCCCCGAAAACTTTGCACTCCAGCATTTTGTGCATTCGAGTTTCCCATTCCACATACGCCCCGTGGGCCAATTTTGCTCTTTCAGTCGTTTTCCCACTTGTTACACATGCGATAAGCCAGGACCAACACCACAAGGATCCTGAGCCGCTTCCTGTCGTCGTCAGCTATCCTTTTACAGCACTGAGAGAATATATCACGACAATTGATTTAGGATTCTATACTTTATGTTGCTATTTGTGTTAATTTAGTTAATGATTGATTATGATGTTAATACATTTATATTGAATAGCAAAAACATCAGGGAAAAAGAATATGTGAAGGGAAATAAAAATTAAATTATAAATATAAATCAACACAGGAAGACAGCTCCTTATTTCTGCAATATTTTTCCCTGTGTTTATCCTTCTCCACATGCCATGCTCTTGATTTCTCAATGGACTGCCAATTGTGTGACTCTTGTTTTGCCCCCTCAATTGCGCTTTTCATTCATAGATGTCCATGGAAATTCGGGGAAGCTCGAAGACCTTCGAAAGCAATCATTTGGTAAATATTGCAGGGGATATACAAATGCCACCCCTGAAATCTATCCCCAAATTGCACATTCTCCGAAATAAATTCAAGTGAGGAAACGATGCTGCTAGTTTTGTCCTTCTGGTCATAGTTGATTCAATTTTTGGCTTGCACATGGAAATCGATGCCGCACTCCTGCCAATTGCATTCGCATTTGGGGGAGGTAAACAAAAACCCAAAAACCCAAAAAGCCAAAAACACACGAACTCAAAATGCACTTAGTTGATTCGGCTTAAAACTGAAACAAAATGCAAAAACTTTAACTTAGTTTGAAGTTCACTAACTTGATTCACACGTGCCGTTCTGTGTGGTAAACTCTGCATTTATTGAATTTCCTTTTTTATTTCCCCCTTCTTTTGTGTTGAGCCAGGTCTTTGTCAATAACAAATTTTAATATGGGACAAAGGGGAGCTTTTTTAATCGGATAAAAACTATTATAGCAGTATACAGTAAAGGAAAAAGTGTTCTCCCCTGGGAATCTTTTATTGATGTAACAATGGAATATCAGTCCATATATTAAAGTTAATATCATTTCAGTAACTATCATCAAAGCTAAGACATATTTACTCGTTGGCAACTATTTAAGCCAACAAACAAATTAAGGAATTACAAAGGATATGGAATGATAACTTGCTTTTTGGCCAAACGGTTTTATTTATTTTTCTAAATTCCTCTAAAAGCACTGCAAATATTTCGCTTCCATCAATGCAACATGATAATGTCAAAGGCAAATGGTGGTTGTTCATGTGTTTACTTGTTCCAGCTTTTCCTCTTTTCCACTTTTACATTTTTGATTTTTTTTCTATTATTCCCTCACAGCCAATCTTTTTTTTACCTTTTCATTTTGTGATAAACAATCCTGTGCCCTAAAAAAGTGGTTTTGTCCAGAAATGTGTGATCAACTTTAAACACAGTTTGGGTTAATTTGAGCCCCGCAAAACAAACAAAAAAATAAAATAATAACACTGCCCCCCTTTAAAATGCCATTATGAACTCATAACGTTTGCGTTATTGATTTGCGAAATTGAAAATGTAAAATGTGGAAAAAAGGGTGTGTGAATCCAATTACATGTCAGCCTGGTTGGCAAACAATGGCAGCTTTATTTTGCAATTTGTTTCAGCCTAGCCCAATTCAATTACAATTATAAGGTTTTCGGCGGATAAGGAGTACTTTCCATGTTTACACAGGTAAAGCTATGGTTGCTTGTTATATCACTGGATAAATTTTGGCACGATTTTGTCTGTTAAAGTATAACACTCAAAAACAAGTTTTTTTGAGGGATTTTAATTGTATCTTTTCAATTTTATTATAAAACATTTTTTTCAAGTTTCTCAATTTTATTTCAGTTATTAATTACTAACAGTGAAATAAGTCAAATGTTTTATTTAGTAAAGGTTCTAAGAAAAATATCAACTCAAAGTGCTATTTTTAATGCCATATACATTTTTAAAATATTTGCAAATTGGAATTTTTGTGCAAATACCATTTGCAGCAGGTAAACAGCAGAGTTATTCGCCCTGCTTTGCCAGTAATTTCAGTTGCCTCTGGCAATGCGGAACAAATATTGACCAAGGGTGGCGAAAAGGGGGTCGGAAAAGGAGGCTGGAATAGGGGGGTAGAAAAGGGGGGGTCGGAAGTGTGTGGTGTGGCCTGCGGTCTGTTATCTTTTGGCACACGCAAAAATATCACTCATACGCATGGTGGGACCTTGCGGTGCTAAGCCAGCGTGAAAACTATTTGGCCAAGCTGCGGAATTCGAGAGTTTATGGCCCAAAGCGATGGCCCGGCTTAAAGTGCGTTTCGGTTGCCTAAATTCTCGTACAGAATATCTATTTCTCAGCGTTTTCTTCCTTCCAAAAACGTAGCTTAAAACCCGCTACATTTATTGGCAAATAGAATACCATATTTTAATTGCACCTAGTGTCCTTTTGCATAATTAATTCCTCTTAATTTATTTTACATGTACATCATTATTACCTTTTAAAACAGATTTCATTGACACATCATTTCGATTAAAATGCGGTTAAGCCTTTATTTTGTCATGGGCTTTATTACTTAAATAATTTGATAAGCCATCATTAAATTGTAAATAACTGAGTTGAATTGATTGAGTAGATTAAATTACATATGCTTTTAAATACTAGTTAATAGTTAGTTGCTATATTTATATAACTGTTGCAAGTTTGGTTTTAAAGCAATTGCCTTTTTATGTGTCTGCAATTACTTGTAGATTAAATTACATATGTTTTTAAATACTAGTTAAAAGTTATTGCAATATTTCTATAACAATTGTCTTTTTATATGTCTGCAAATTAAAGGGACAATCGGGTAAAATTGGCAAATAGTATGATGGTTTCATTAAAACCGGATTACTAATCCCTGGCTTTCCTTTTCGTTTTATACTTTGCCTAACTTTATTTTCAAAAGTCATTTCTGGGCTAGGTCGCCTTAAGGCAGAGAAACGCACTGTCCATCCGAGTCTGTTTGTCTTTCGCCGAAATGGAACAATGCCACTTGCTTATGGCCACTTGGCTGCAAATGATTGCGCATCCGCACCGTGTGCCGCAGAGATGACGAATGCCATGGAAGTGGGTTGAAGATTGAAAAAGTGCACTTTTCAGGGGGGCTTGGAATGGAAGAGGGTGGCGGAGGGAGGGGAATCCCCTCGCAATCAACGCATATATCAGGATTATGTGACACCAGGCTTGACCTCCTGCCCTTCTCGTCCTGCCAAAGGACTATGATTAAGCCAACATACTATACACATGTACACACAGCCCATGATGTGACCTGCCACTAGGCGATTTATGTTTTTGGTTGAAGGCACTATAGTCCCGCCAAATACATCCCCCCCTCTCCCCTCCCTTACCAACCCACTGGGGTCGTAAAATTTATGAGCAATGCGTGAATGTGTTAAAATTTATGCCTTGCTGGGTCGGCTGCTGGTTATATATCCTTCTGGGGTGCGAAAAAAGGTACGGGGTCTTGTTTATTTGGGCATCCATCAAGCGAGGGTAGCGATTTGGCCTGATTTCGGAGTTGATTTCAACCGGACGACTCCTCTAATGATTATCCCACTTCGAGGGTTTCACTTGTGCCACCGAGCGCATCCATTTCATTAGTTCTATTCACCGTTTTTGTTCTGTGTTCTGAGTTCTGTGTTCTGGCCTCCATTTCTCTTGTCTGATTGCATTGTACATAAATCGAATGGATCTGGCAGATGCCAGATGGAATATGCCATACTGCACAGTTAGAAATTAATCTTGAATAAAATAATCTCCTTAGTTTTCTACTCTTGATTGTTTGTCTGCTCACTTTATGCGTTCGTTAATGTTAAAACAAATTTTAAATTGTTTTGGCTTAATGCATAAATCGAATGTTGAGGTCATAGTTAGTCATAATACCATAGCGTTTAATAGGCTTTTATCACACAATATATTTCGGGGTCTTCAATAATGCTAAACTATGCAGTTTTTAGCATAACATAATTTATGATTCTACCCTGCCTTGTATATTATAATAACTTATGGTTTTTCTCAGTGCCAACGCCATATGAAGTGCTCCCTCATTTTTCGCCAAGGACACAACATCGAATGTCGAGTCGAGTCGAGAGTCACAGTTCAGTTGGCTTCACTGGGCTTGCAATCTCTGCCTGACTGACTCCATTTGTAGCATATATCCCGCACTGTGCCTGCATTCATAAGGTGTATACTATACTGTATACTGTATAGACTTTATAGGTAAGGTGTGCCACGCTGTTCGTTTTTATGAACAAGAGCATTTCAATTCACGCACAGCGGAAGTGCCAGCGAAATTGAATCGCAGGCTGTAATTTCCGCTGCAGTCAGCTGGATGATGATAATGATGATGTGGGCGATGATGATGATGGTGGCCAGGTGCTGCTGGGAAATGCCCCTCAGCAGGCAGGTATCCAGGATTCCGGATCCAGGAATCAGAACCAGAACCCCGAGTCCTGGCCAGTTGTCGCCCTTTGAGAATATTGAAAAGCAACTAAATGCTGCTGGCGCCCTGTTGCAGCCCATTAGAGTCGGTTATCTAAAATTAAAAGCCCTCCTGGTCGAAGGACCACGGGGAACTAAAGTGAAACTGCTGAAAGTCCTGCCACAGGATAAGCCAGCATGAGTACCTGCTCCATTGCCCCCCCGGCCACAAACAATTTTATTCACTTAATGAAGCCAGTGTGGAAAGTGAGTGCACTCATAAAAACATTTGCACCCATTATCATTCACTGGAAAATCAGTCAATGGTGCATGAAATTTAATAGAGTGCTTTGTTTAAATATGGCTAAAAAACGCTTAAGGTGAACTGCAAATCTTTGTTAGATTTATGTATACATTTTGAGTATGAACCATTTCATGTTATATTGTAACGATTATTATCGATATTATCGATGTCTAAACAATCGATCTACAACCGAATACTATCAATGGTAGTATTGATTGTGTTGGCAAAACTATATGAACTATGTTTTATTCTTTAGGTTAACCATAAATATCCTGTAGGACTATGAAATTATTTTTTAAAACTACGATGTTGGAAGGGTGTACTACCTGAACTATCTTTGGTATCGATATAGTTATCGATTGTGTTGCCAACGCATTTTAAAGTGGTTTTAAGCACCTAGAGATTTCCGGGGCACCCTTTGTACTTCCAATTGGACTAAACTATTTAGGAAAATCCCCCATTCCCATTCCGTTTTGAAGTGCAGTGGACTTACCTCATAGGAACCGGCGGTGTCCAGAATATCGAGGGTTAGGCTGACGCCGGCGATGGAGAAGTTGCCCTGGTGCATCTCCTCGATGGTCCGTTTGTACTTGGTGCTAAATGTGTTGTATAGAAACTGGGTGATTATCGACGTCTTGCCCACTTTTGCAGAGCCCATGACGACGATTTTGTGGCGGGCGTTTGCCGGTCCGATGGCATCGTCCACCGCATTGTTCCTGCCCACTCTGCGTATGCGTGATTTTCGGTGGAGCGTGCGAAGGCGGAGAAAGGTGGAAAAACATGAAACATAAAACGTGACTTGAGTGAGTTAAGTTCGGTGCAATTCAATTAATTTCCAGGCCAGCGCAAAGGCTTTCCTCTCCATTTTGATGCATGATTTAATAACAAAAACCTCCATCCCCCTACACTACCAATTTCAATGGGTTTTACTTAATCCCCATGGGCGACTCATTAAATCTGTGCGCCACATTTAAAATTAATCATTACGGCAACATCACAAAGCGTCAGCCACGGAGCAGGGCAAACAAAAGTGCCCTCACTTTATAAACAGCACGGTGTATATACATACTAAATGGTATATGGCCATATAGCCATAGTGCAGGTGGGTTCGCTCTGCCTGCAAATTAATTGGGAATCGGGGGAATTATTTGTCTTTCGCAGCAATGTCAGTTTTAAAGGTTGCCAAAAGCGTGGAAGTTCAACTTAAAATGTTGCAGACTTAATGGATTTCGACAAAAGAAGGATAACCAACAATGATTGAAAGACTTTTGTGTTTCGTGCACAAATTCTACTCAAGCGACATTTCCAACTCTCTTTTATTTTATTTCATTTAATTCATTTTAAAGTATAACATTAATTGAACCTAGTTTTTAAATCAAGACTAATGTAAAAAAAAATGTACTTTTCAGTACCAGCAATATGGTTAAAAGTGGAAACTTTTTAGATTTTTCCTTTCAGTTTTGTTTAACATAACCAGCTGCGATTAATAGTTTCTGTTTATTTGTTTCAAAGTTTTAAAGTTGCTGTTCAAAACTTTTTAGCGATGAAAATGGGTTCAAGGTGTAGTGGTGCATTGTGTTTGAAACCAATCTGTAATGCTTAAAATTACCATAAACGCAGATTTACAGAGAGCTACTTGTTATTTATAATCATGTAAATTCACAGAAACGTCTAAGCCGGAAGTATTTGTGAATAAACTGGCGAAATATATATGCGATATTAGAACCCAGTAATTAAACTGAAATGTCGATATGATGTTAGGCAGTACCAAGTACTTAAACTGAGTGATTTACATGATATAAATATCTGAGAATGTAGCTTTCTTCACTTTGTTCCAGCATTCATGGCCAAGATGTTAACAGAAGTTGTGGAAATGTGCAGGGGAATTCCTTCGTAATGTGACTGTCTGTTTTCGAAATGTAGACATGCCGTATGTGTTGAAAGAAGAAACTTTGTTATCTCGGCTGCTGTTTGCTGCTGGTTGACAGCGAAAGTGAACAGGAAATATTCCGGGCGGGAACACGGCACATCTGCGATGAAATCCAATGCCATTTCCGGCTGGACAATGGCCACAAAGCCGCAGAATCCGAGGATGACAGCTCCTCCTTCGTCCTGCGAAACGATAAATCAGGGAAGTCCAGGGGGAAAAAGGGGAAATCGAAGGAGCAGAAGTGGCATAATTGTCCAACGGGAGACGGCTAACAACAACGGATCAAATTTGACTTTAATAAGCGCGATTCTGTCTTGTCTTGTCTTGTTTTTTTTTTATTGTTTTTCTTTTTTTTTGGCACCTTCCCGGCATTCTATAAATATTTTCCGAGTGGAGGGGTAGAAAAAACAAGGAGGAAAAATGTAATCAAAGGCCCGAAGAACATGAATTTCTTGTCCTGACAGGCAAAACAAAGGAAAAGTATGCAAACTACGGACGGACGGGAAACGGCCGTTTCCCTTTTCCCTTTTCCCATTTCCCATTTCCCATTTCCCCCTTCCTCCACCCGCTTAAAGTTTCCTTCTCTTATTTTGGTCCTTTGAACTTGATGAAGAAATGAAAATGTTTGCCCCAAAAGTGAAAACCAAGATTCCAATGGCAGTTAAAAATATGAATTTCCATCTGCCATCTCATCTGACTATATCCTCCATTTCCTTGGCGTTTTTCCGATAAAGTTCAGCTCGGAATTCGGCACTCCTTCCCTCGCTTTTCCCCATCTATTGCGAAAATTCCTTTGCAATTATTGCGGGCAGCGATTGAAGTTTGGGGCCCCTCAACTTTGTGACACTTTGACTGGTTAACTTGGGTCAACTTTCGGTTCGGTTCCCTTGGATTTCGGAATGGAACCTCCCACTAAACTCACACGTGTCCCCCATTTGTCACCCTGTAATGCCACCCACATATTTATGGTCGTCTGAGTTGGCTTTCGCTTTGAGTTTAATATGGATTTGTTGGTGGTATTACTGGTTAAATTGCATTGCATTAGGGAGGCAATTTATTCCAGCCCTCCCGCACAACATACGAGCACTTATTTGTTTCACAACATTTACCACTGAAGTCATAAATACTACAATTATGATTTTATAATGCCCTACTATAGTGATTAATTTTATTAGCTCTTTACACTCTCAGAGAAAAAGGTGAAATCTTGGAATTTAAACCAACAATCCATCCTACATTAATTAATATATCGAAGACTATGTAGAGGGATAGTTTAAGTCTCAACTATTGACTTTAACTATATTTAAGGGTATAAAGATTTTAGGTGCGTAAACTTTGTGCCTTTCAGCGCAGTTTTATGAACCATAAATATTGGCGTGCCCGGCTCATCCGGGGATTTCCCTTTCTCTTTTTGTCCACCATTTTCCCTGGCTTTTTACAACCAGGTGAGGGATGTGAAGCCCCGTGCATATGCTACTTTTTAACCCGTTTTTTTCGGGGGGTTCACCTTCACCCAGCCATAACTTACTTGTCACGCTTTGGTTTATCCTCGGCATTGTCATCCTTCATGAACGAGGGCTGCAGGCTGAACCGGCGACGCAAGTGACGGCCACGCATCCTGCAATCCTTGAATCCCCGGGTGTCCTTGTGCTGTGGGCTACTACGGCTGGTGAATCAACGCCCCTCGCTTTTCTCTCAGTGCTCTCCTCCTTCGATTCGGCGGGCTGTGACGTTTTATTATCAGCAGTCAGTGTAAGTGGAGCAGTAACTGTGGCGGTAACTGTAGCGCTAACTGGCAAATTGTTATGGCCACGTTAACGGGCGGTAGTTGGGCTCTTAGTCGTTCGTCCTTTATTTCTTAGTTTATTATTAGCCTCGCCAGCGTTTTTCCTTTTCCGCCGCCACCGGAAAATGCAAATATTTGCTCTTATTTCTCGAGTCTTACGTTTCGTTTTAATTACGTGACTCGATGATGATAATTTCCTTGGCAAATTCTCCTGTTTACCTGCAAATGGAAAATGTTCCTGGATGAGAGACGAAAAAGCCATAAATTAAAAGCCACCTGCTTATCTTACTACAACTGGGTGTCAGCATTTGATAATTGAAATTAAAGCGAAAACCGTTTCGGCAAAAGAAAAACAATAAATACGAAAACACGAAAAGGGGCGAGAATTGTCGAAGGTTTCATTTCTGTGTAAAAAAATAATTACCATCAAATAAATGGCATGAAAACAAAGTATTATGCTGAGAAGAGACTTGTATACATTTTAAATGGCTAATAAAATCATTTGTGTGCTATGTAGAAACTCTCTTTAAACAATATTCATATAACAATGTTTTTAAAACTCAAATAAATGTCTAAAATATTAAAAAATTTTATTTTTTAAGCTTCTCATTGTGTGATAGACAAGATTACATTATTCAATATGAAGTTAAGTTAAAGCTTAAAATATATTTTGGTTTATTTTTTCTTTGGCCGATCATAAACTGGAATCCCCATTTTGCCTACCTTACAGGGCATTTGGGAAAAAGTGAAACTTTCTCCCAGTTGGCGAAACTCGGGCTAATTAAACAGATTTATGTGGGGCGTGGCAGTTGAAGACCCTTAGCCACCGCTTTCTACAGCTTTCTCCTGCTTTCTTCGCGTGCAGTGCTCACTAAATGCCCTGCTACTTATTTTAATTTTATGGGTATTTCTGTAGCAGCTTCTGCTCTTCCTTAACTTAGTTTATGTTAACAAAAGCACGAGAATAAACGTGGCTGACATTAATTAGACTTTAATGGAGTTAAAGTAAAGGTCCCTTAGTTTAAAGAGTCCCCTCCTTGTTGCTCACTTCTGAGGGGTCGCAAAACTATAAACAGAAAATAAAGTCAGCTAGATAAAGACTAAAATGGGGTTCATTTTGATGCTATATCATATGAATAAATGATATAGTAATTATATTATTACAACATTACATCAAATTCATGTTTTGACAGGCATATCATATAAAACACATCAACTTGATTGCCACATAATACGGATTCTTCTTACTGTGTAGGATACAAATGGAGGAGTGGCTCTTCAAATGCATTTTAAGCGATTAAATGTCACTTGAAGTGCAACTTAATCTGTGCCAGCTTACACACATTGTACATGCGAGAAATGCTCTGAAATAAAATGCGAATTTTACTTGTTTCCCCCGCTTTTACTTTGTGCACAGTAGTATTTGGCACAATGTGCAACAAGCTGCACTTGCAACAGCTAAAGTTGCGAGGAAGCGGCGGAAATCGCTGCAAAATGCCTTGAAATCACTCAGCATTCAGAGCAGGAAAACCCGGGAAGAGCAGAAAAAGACGAAAACCAACTCAATTGTCGGGCATTATCCATATTCTGAGGCTCTCAAAACGGATACACTGTAGCCGGAAAGACAGCAGCCAAAATATATGCTTAAAGTGGGGCAGGAACGAAAATGAAAATGATTTAATTGCTGTAATCTGACAACTCATTTTATCATCGAAATAATTTGGTGACTTGTAAAAATAACAATGATGATTTCGAAATCATTTTCTACTCTTGAAAATGATTATTTTCTTTTTTTTAATTCACAAAATCCTTTTTCTTCAAATGTACTTTGTTTTTAAAACCATTGATAATTAGTAAAGTTGAAAAGTTTGGAAATCTGGACTTTTACAAATTGTTCTCCTTATGTTAGTATATAATATTTGTTTAGTAATTGATCAGTTAGCTTGCTTTGCCTACTTTCGGGGGCATTTAAGACTCACTTTTGCTAATCTCCTTTGCTTCTGATTTTTTTTAGCAAAAGAGTGAAGACTGAAAGGCGCTTAAGCAAGTCAAACTTTGGCAGCTTTGTGTTTTATTTTATTTTTTTGTTGTGGAGTGTGTGTTCAGTGGGTCTTAAGACCAGTTGATCCGAACTGCCAGTGAAACTTTGGTTGCGGCTTAGGAGCCCGAAAATTTGCTCAAGTTAAACGAGTTGCGGCATATTGACTGCAGTAAGCTGAATAAATGGATTATCCTAGAAAAAGGAAGAGAGGCGGTGAAGGGGGGCCAAAGGTTGAGGAGGGTGGGGAAATTGCCTGCGGTCCTCGTGTCTGGCCTTGGGCTTCCCTCAGTTTTCCTCTTTGTAAATTAATTTCTTTTAATTTTTAGTTGGTTTCCCATATTTTCTTTTTTTTACCATTGAGGCAGAGTTCGTGGAGGAAAAATGCAACTTTCTATTGTACTTGAACAATTCGATTTGCATGAAGTTTAGCGCAAGTCGACGGAATAGCCAATGCAATGGTGGAAAAATGGAAAAGTGCGGAAAAGGGGGATGAAAAATAGTCTGTGTAGTAGTCTGTGCTACAGTTTCCCAGGATATCGAATGGAGAGCACAAATCTTGCTCAACTATTTGTGAATTACCAATCGATTCTGTTATTAAGATGCAACTTGGGTAATAATTTTCTTTTTTCATATGAGCTTAAACAAATATTTCTTCAAGCTTAAATACATTTAATTATAGGTAAAAATTGTGTACATAATATTTATAATTAGTCTTAGGCAAAGGTAATTTCCTAGTTCAAACGGTTCTTCTTTCCCAATTTGTTTTCCCTTTTTTCGCTCGATGCTTATTTTATTATCTGGAACATTTTCCGGTTTTCATTCAATGAAATTTATGAATAAACATAACGATGATAATAATAATAAATCATTGACTACTGTTGGAGGGGATCGTAAAACGTATTTCGAAATAAATAATCATGAAACGCAGCGCACGTAAAACGAAATAAATTGAAATGGTGAAATGAAGGGGGGAGAAACTCAATAATTTGGTAGCTCAGCTGGAAATTAGGGTTTTTTAAGGATTGGACAATCAAAACGAATTACACACCTGACTTAAGTTGCAAAGCTGGTAAAGGGAACTCTGTCGGTATCTTGGCAGAATTTCCAAAAATTTATGAAATGCAAAAGGGTTCGGTGGTGGTCATAGATTTGCGGTCCCCCTTTGCAATTTGTGTGTGGGGGTGCTCGTATGGGCCAGATTAGCACAACCCCATCTCCCAACGTCCCTACTGTCCCTATCTACTTACCAACCGGTGTTTGCTTGTGCCTTTATGTTTGTGGGTGATGTTCGTGACTGGCCCTGAATGCACTGGCTCACCTGCTCACCAGGTAAAAGCATCCCACCAGCCGCCCAAGCATTCAGCCAGGTGCAGCACTAAAATTGAAAAGCATAAATACTTGTGTACATGTACTATAAACATAAAGCTCCCCAGTATATAGGGCTCTATGACGAAGGGGGGGTGGGGGGAAGGGTGGTGGTGTTCGCACACAAAAAGGGCCACAAAATATGGGAATGCTTTTTCCACACATCCTCTCAATTTTTATCTCATTTCTGTCGTTTGACAGAGATCACGTGCTGTTTAATTTGGTGGTTTCACTGGGGTCTTTAAAATTGGACAGTATAGGTTGTAGTTTAGTAAACCACATCGATACCTTTTATAAATTTAAACATTAATACTGATCATGGTAAATTCCATAAGGTGATGAACCTTAGAATCCACCTGATTAACTTGCTGCAGCGGAATTAATCAAGGTTATTGGACATTCGCACAAAGCAAAGCCTAATAAGGATATCATATCATACCGTTGGCGTTGAATCGGAACAGGACTGAATGAAACAAAGGACAGCAACAATTGGCCAAGCAACAGGCAACAGAGGGAACAACAGCAACAACAGCAACAATGGCCACAGCAAACAAAGATAAACAACTGAGTTTCTCTGGGGCTGGCCCCTCAAAATACATTTTCTTTTCCTCTGTTTTTGGGCTTTGGTCTCGGGCAGAATGCTAATGAATCCGGGGGAGGATGGGGGCCCTACAGTTTTATATGGAGGATTGTAGGCTGTGCAAATCTGATGAAAAGCAAATAAACAATCAGAGCCAAAGAAAGCAGGGCGAGGAGAAATGAAATGTCATAACAGAAACAAAGGAAGGTGGGGTTTTTATTCGGGGAGGGGATGAGCACCAGAAGACAAATAAATGACAAACCAATGACAATGAAGAAAGGGCCCCAAAAACTGTTTTTTTTTGTCCACTTTATTGACTCACTTTGTTTCTGCTTATAAATAGAGCCTTGCAATGGACTTTAAGTAATTCAACATCTCAACTTTCTGGATTAGACAGGCAAAACCAAAGCAATTTCAAATTTAATTTGGAATTAAACAAAACAAAAGCATGAAAAGCAAGAGTTAGTGAAAATGAATTTTAGCGAAATTAGAAACCATAAAAAATATATGAGAGAAGTTTAAATTTCAAGGTAAATTTCAAGCGAGGCCAATCTACCTCAGTTGTTTGGTGTTAAATTAATTAAAATATTGCTTTAATGCACTTTCTAAGGCCATCAAATGAACAAGTTGATAATTTAATTCCTTGGGAATAATTAAAGTTTCTAAAATGATCAAAACAAATTATTTGTTTTACCACAGATATTTGCTTTGTATTTTAAGCAGCTCTCTGTCAACTCAACTTAGTTTTACAATTCCCAAGAACAATCTTTTTGAGATTTACTACCTTGAACCCCCGATAAACTAAGCCCCATAATCAGACCGCATTGAACATTAAGCCCAACTCTTTGTGGCATTACGAATTCCCATTGCCCATTGGGTGAACTTTGTCTAAATTGATTTGAATATTTATGAAGTTGTGAGGGTGGGAAAAGACACACACTTTTATGTGTCACAATCAGCAGTTGTTCTAGTAATTCTGGGTTGGCAAAAGGGTTTGAGTCATTCGGTTTGGGGCTTTTTCAGATCGGCTTAATCGCAAAGCCGCAGCCAAAACGAGGGCTCAAGTAATTATAAATGCCATTTTGTGTCGGTTTTGTTTAGCACGAAGAGATAAGAAAGCGGTTTTCGGGTGGTTGTGTTTTGTGGGGTGGACGTGGGATATGCATATTTATCATTCATGTAGGCACAAATTTCTGTCTGTCTCGTGAATGACACGAAAAAGGCAATTTAAACAAACACACACACATCCAAACACAAGGGACAAAGGGGTGAAAGCGGGTGCCATCTTCGCCGCAGGCATTACAAAAATTTCGTACACACTCGACGCAACAAAAAAAAAAGAAAATAAATAAATAAAGAAAAAAACAGAGCACCCGCACTGTCAACAAGCAACAGCCAGCTACAACAAATAAAAGAACAACACATAGAGTAACAACAAATAGAAGTAAGAGCAACAACCATTTGGAAAAACAACAAATATTGCTGGTTCTTATCATTGGCAACAAGAATCGGGCCAAAAGAGTGTGTGGAACTGAAATTGAACTGAACTGAACTCAACCGAGTTCAACACACAGAAAAGAACACTTAAAACTTGTTTCTCCTTTTTAAATAAAATATACAAAAATATTCATTAATTTAAATACAATTTCATTTATGTGAAATATATATATAAAATTAAAATAAAATGTTTGCTAATATCAATTTACCAAGTCTTTTATTAATTAATAGAAGATCTCGTGCCTTGAATGCATTATTTATAGAGACTTTTATAGAGACTTTTATAGAGACTTTTATAGAGACTTAAGAACTATTACTTCAAAACTTTTTCCAATGAACATATACATTTTTATTGCAGTGCAGAGACAAGTGAAGTCAGAGTTTGTGAATTCTGAGGCTGGGACATTTTCACGAGGAAAAGCCAATGACCCAAAGCAGCCAAATGACATGCCGGCACACAAGAGCTCCTTATCAGCCATGGGCCATGTGTGTGGATGTGGAAGCGGTGCTTGTTGCTCGGCACAGTGGGGCAAATCGTATGACTTGCTGATAAATTTAGTTTAGATGAAATGTTTTCTAAAGTTCTACTTACTTTAATTTGCAACGAAAGCGTTTATAATATGGATTACTGATAATAAAAAGTGTACTTTTATTTTTGGTTTGATCCTCTAAACATTTAAAAATGTGATATCATCAAGGGTTTTATTTCCATTCTTAAGAACGGCTTACTTTTGTTTCAAAACATCAGGATTACACTGCATTATACATATGTAGATATCTAAAAAAAAGTTAAGGTTCCTGTCATCTTAGGACTACTTTTCGAGTTTGAGGGCGAAAAAGACTCAGTGTACCGGAAAAGTTGTCTTTTGTTTTTCGCAAAAGTTGTCGCTCTAGTTTTCCGTTTCCTGAGCTGTCAGTTCGCCGGGCTTCGGCTGTTCGACTTCATCTTTATGCCTGCAACAGATTCAGCTCGAAAAAAAAAGAAAACGTCTACAAAAATAACAACAATAGTTGGAAGATATATAACAGCCGAGGAGAAAAGCAGCAACAATGACGAAGACAATTTGTGAGGATTTTTATAGACAAGCGTCTTGGTGGGAAATTATGGCCCGGCCTCTTAGCGTATATATATGTATAAAAGCACAGGGAGAAATTAGAGATACGTTTCATTTTAGACATAAAATTCATATTCATAGGGTATAGCAAGCTTGACCCTTAAATGATAATATTACAAAAAGAATCCCAGCCTTATCACTTTAGTTTAATAACTATTTACTATTAAAAATATGTATTGCTTGTAATACAAAATATTTATAAATGTGTTTTTCTTACTATTTTGTTTTCGGTGTATGTTTCTTGTAAGTGTGTGCGTGTGATGCGTGCTTGTACTAATGAGACAATTTCCACTAGTTTCGTGTGTGTGTGTGTGAGCGTGTTGTCTTGAATTTTATCCCCTAATGAACTGTCCCTCGACTTAGAAGCTGACTTGTTGCTCTGCTCACACCCATCGGGATATCTAGTCCCCAGCCACGCCCCCCGCAGGTCCTTGCGCCCCCTTTGGGTGTCACATTGTTGTCGTTTCAATTAGTGCTTCAGTTTCGGTGCGACTTTATCAGTGTCGAAGGGGAATTGGATTCGGAATTGTAATATCTGAATGAATAACTTGATTTGTGATAAGCGAGATAGGGGAAAATTGCAATCGAACCAATCAAATACAGCACGTTTCAAAATCGTCAGTTCGTATTATAAATTGAACTTTTCGAGTCTAAGACAATTTACTAAATCATTAGCAAATTTCAATAAAAACCATTTAAAATTAAATTGTATTCTATTAATGCTTTTAATGCTTAAAAATTAATCTTTATAAGTTAAAAAACTGTTTTGGTTGTGTCTTACTTGTTGAATCCATTAACTACGAGCAAAAGGAATATATTACTTTATATTTGGTATGTTGTGTAAAATGATATTCATCAACATCAATATTCCACTGGAGTTAAACATTTTTTAATTGTATATTTAGAATTTATAAAATCAGTATATTGAATATGTTTAAGGCCTAAAGTCACAATATTATACTCTATTGTAATTCCTTGTTATTTTGTACAAAGATATTACCATAGAATATATCATTTAATTTATGATTTAGGCTCTTTGTTTTTTGTTTGTGAACACATATTTGGTTGGATTTTTTCTATTCACATTGCCGAAACGCGCTGTTTCGCCGCAAATCCAGGAAAATCGTTCGGTGAATTCGCACTGAGCTCCCTTAATCCCGCCATCTCGGATACTCTGAGATATCCGTGAAGTGGAGTTACCAATCCAGCGGGGAGTTAATCTGCATGACAGTCATAACAATGAGAGAGCGATTACACACGCCACAGATAAGAGAACCCCCATATCGCATTCCGCTGATTGAGTTGCTTTTATGGCGGCCCCAAAAGGACTTTCTATATGTGTCTAAGACAAAGGGATATTAAATTGGAGCAACAGAGGTCGTAAAGCTGGCCATTTACTTATCCCAAAATTTGCACTTCGGTGTCGGCGATGGGATTCCAAAAAAAACAGTCCGCCAAAAAAATATTAGAGAGATGAAACCCTGACATTGATGAGTAATAAGTGCAATAATCGGCAGTGGGCCATGACAATGGTTACACTAGCTGCCAATAGAGCAGTTTATCTGTGCGTAGAATAAACATTTTATCGCATTATCGATTGCGATTACTCAGTTAATGAATTAAACATACACACACACACATCGGGCAGATATATAGAACTCCTTCGGTTCAGTTTGGCCAAAAAAGAATCCCATTCAAGCAAAAAGCTGCGACAAGTGCGATAAGAAGTCAGCCAATAATGGCATAATAATAAATCATCACTGGGGCACACAAAAAAAAAAAAAAGAAAAAAATAAAATACAGCAAGTGAAACTAAGCTAAAAGTTTGCACATAAAATGCCTCGCGTCCAACGCGTCGTATGCGCAATGTCACCCAGCTAGTATAATTTACGATACCGAAATATCAGAGCGAGGATTCATAACGAAAAAAAAAACAAAAAATAACAAAAAACTTCATTGAATTAATTATGACAAGCGATGAGTTTATTTATGATCAATGCAGATTACAAATGAATTATCGTTTGCCGAATTGGATCGATGATGATGTTGCGGTAGCCAGTGGAAATCGGTGGAAAATTTGGTGGTGGGTGTTGAACTAACTTCTATATTTAAAAACCACTTTATGTGCTATTAATAAGTAACAAATATTTACTTTTAAAACTTTCTAAAATGTATTATTAAAATAGCTTACTATTTTACTTTCAACCTTTTTCAGTTCATACCCGTAAATAATAAAAATCACACAAGATAAGTTAAAATAATTGTAATTGATTTTAAATATAAACTTTAATTTTGTTTGTTAGCAACCTTTGATGTTTATTTTAAAATGTTTCCGGCTCGAGGTCAACAATTGCAAAAAATAAAAACAAAAGTTTATATTTTAAATATTCTTTTAGAATGAAGAACCATACACAAGAACCATTTTCTAAGTAACTGAAATAGATTTAAGCTTACTTAAATCTTACTTAAATCATATATTTTAAAATCATTCACTAAATTAAAACACAAAAAAAGAAAGTCTTTTGTTTAAATTGAATTTACCACCGAATCGTTTTTTTTTGGTACCTGTTTTTCGAGAGGTTTTTCCGAATCAATTTTGGACTTCGTAATTTTTGTTGGCAAATCAAGTTTTTCAATCAACACTCAAAACACAGAAGCACATGTTCAAAAAAAATATTGTTCACTCTGGGTGAGAAGAACTCGAGTTTTCCGTTCGCTTTTTGGCTAGGATGCTCTTTTGTTTCTGGCTAAAAGTGGACTATTTTGGCTGTGTTGGCTGTTCAGATGGAAGGTTTTTGGGGCAGCAGCGATGGAACAACACGCTGCGTCGAGTTCCCGGGAAAAACTGGCTGCGAACCGAGCGTTACACTTGATGCATGCCCGAAATCGAAATCGCACAGCCGAGGAACGAGCATAACGAACCTCGATCCGAACCTGAATCCGGCCAGCCGAAGTGTGCCAAGGTGAGAGAGGTTTTTCGGTTGGGTGGTGGAAGGTGGGAAAAGAGGTTTGGGTGGAAAAGCGCCACAAGTGCATGCCGAAAAACGAAGGAAAGCCAGCCAGCCAGCCAGCCAGCCAGCCAGCACAACAAAGGCGAAAGAAGTGGGTTTCCCATCTTGGAGAAGGAGGAGTCTCCTTCAAATGCGAATAACGAAAAGCGGGAAAATCGGATGGAAAGGGGGGTGGAAAAGCGGGGCGAAGCTTTAGCTGAATGCAAAGCTTTTCCCACCGGAGCTTTCCCGCTGAGCAGATGCAACAGCTACGGCATACAGATGGCATAAGATACATTCAAATGCTGCGGAAAGGTTAACTGCAAACGGTATGATAGATGCGAAGATGGAGCCAAATAAATGGCATACATTATTTAGGCCAAAAGATGGATTGTAGGCGAAATGATTGGCACAAATGTGATAGAATGAAAAATAGCAGACAAGAATGATATTTAAAAAAGCAACAAACCCGAAACTATGAGGTCAAAAGGACGACTTACAACCAAGGCAGAAATATTAGGAATTGTTTGTACCTTCGACGACATTTAAGTTTGATTTTAAAGACATAATAAGCGGCTTATATATACATTGATTTAGGGTTTCTTCCATAAACTAAAGTCTTCTCTTGGATTTTAGTGTAATTAAATTTAAATTGTTACAAGTTCTTTAATGTTTGCCTAAAATAAATCTCATCCAACAAAGACCTTTTGGCCTCTTTTAAATACATTTTTGGCCACTTTTGAGTTAATTAGTTCTGGGTTTTGGGCTGAACTACGTTTAGTTGTAGGTTTCCTTTCAATTGAGAACTTGTTTTGACTTCTTTTAAATAAAATGAAACATAATGGCCTTAGCAATTGATTTATAATACATCTTAACACATTTCTGTGCTGAATAGTAAAAACTATATACAATTCTTAATACTTCTTTTGTCCTGAATAGAAGTTTAAGACAGGTAAGTGGGAATATTATTACCGAGATAGGAAACATTACTGTGAACAGTGCCACAAACTAAATAAATTGGTTGCTCCACAATTAAATTTATTTAGTGAGTTTAGTGACACAAAGACAAGGCCTCGCAACATTGAGTGCCTTCGAGTGGTGGCGGCCTTCGAGTGGTGGCCACACACCTGAAAGGATCTCCAGTCCGTAATCCCAGCCCAGGACATCACAGCCCAGAGGCTCTGCAAAGTCCGCAGTGCCCGCGTCATAAATCTGTTTAAATTAGCTGTTAAACAGGTCGTATACGCGATGTAGTTGCACCAGCCGCCTTCAGTTGCACTCGTCTACCAAGGCAGCACACAGAAAGTAAAAAAGTGAATATCAGAGACAATTACCTATTCAAAAAAATAGGTAATTGACATTAGTCAATTTCTTCATGTCAAATAATTTAAAGTTCCAAACAAATTATAATACATATAAAATATTTATACCCTTGATTCTATTTTAGAAAATTCATATATTTTTTAACACATATTTTTAAACTTCTAATGATGCCTTTAAATAGTTTTTGGCTAGATAATCTTAAAAATGTTTTACAACTTAACTTGTAAGAGTTAATTGATAGAACTTATGAACGATACTGCCATAATTTTTCTAAAATGGAATTCATGGTCAACCACATTTTTAAATCTTGATCTTGACTTAAACTTTTTAAGATACATAAACATTTTTTTCTGTGCAGTTTGCTGACACAGCCTCATGTTCGCGGCATAATAATACCCCATCTTTGCCATTGACATTGTTGTAAGAGGCTTATTCCGGTTCCCCCACTGCTTTCCTTTCTCCGATTCTCTCGAGATGTTCGATTTATCTGATTCCTCGATTCCTCTGATTCCTCTGATTTCTGCGATTTCCCATTCCGGATAGTCAGCAATAACCGGCGAGATAATTGCCACCTACCAAGGACTCGGCATCTCGGCCAATAATCAAGCAGTTATAAATCCCATGAAAGCCGTTCGATGGCAAGTGGCAGGAAAACATTCAAATTAAGACTGAAACAAAAACGTACCGGCCACAAAGTTGCAGTTTGTGCTGTGCGAAAAGTTTTCCGTTTCCCACATCATCTTACGCCCATTTTCCTCTATCGTCACCCCGCCTCGTCCGGAAAACTTTTTAATTTCCATTCGTAATTGTGAGACAGACCATGAAAACGACAATTGAATGTAGCCGCAGCAAAGAGATCGGCAAAAGTTCTTCCCTGGCCACTACAAAGTTGCGGCTGCAGTGGGAAATCGGGTGGCAACTGCCGGGATAAATGGATAAACAGTGGAAAATGCACCACTGGGAAAACGAAGGCCCCTTTAATCGTCCGGCCATGAGCAGTAATTATTAGTGAACTTTCCCTTACACCTTTAATAGCTTTGGATGCATTTTATTTTATTTTTAATTTGTTAACAATTCCTGGAAAAAATCAAAGTAAATGACAGGGAGCTCATCAGCTCATCATCTAGAAGAGACGCTGAATGAAGGACTAACCCGAGAGGAAATAACCAGGTTTAAGGGAAAGTTTTCAATTGTCGATGATCGTCAACATTTCCATGGTTAAACCATTGGATTCGGGCCCATTAGGGTCAGGAAATAGACAAGAATGCGTATGATAAATGTTCGCAAATAAGTTAAAATTTAAAAAGTTTCGAAAGTTTTCCGATGACTTTTGAGTGTAGTTATCCCCACAATATTTAAAGATTTCGGAGATGTTCATAGTCCATAAAATGATATTCCTCGGTATACAGATGTTTTCCAGATTTTCCTAGGCCCAAGTTTTTCAGATTTTGTAAGACTCCTTAAGATCGGAAATTCCATGGCGAATCTCGTGTGTAAATAAAAAGACTATATTATGTCGGGCACAATGTAGTTTTTCTCCATCGCTCAGCACCTGCTCCACGGACAACAAACACATCTGTTAACATGCAAATCAATGTTGGCTGCAACATCTGTCGATGTGTCAGTGGCCCGTTCTTCGGAATACTTGGTAAGCGGCTTGTATGTGCATGGCATGCAACATTTCCGCTTGGGCGCTCCCAAGTAGGAAAACCCAACCACCCACCTACGCCCCATTGGGTGGTGCCACTCCCCCTTGCGGATAGAACACACTTGCTTTAGTCCACCCCCGCATTCTGATGGCGGTTAAGCAGTTGCATGGGCGAACGAAAATGTCAGTGGCATTTGGATTGATTCCATAAAAGTCAATTAGTTCTACAGAAAAAATTACCAGAGCCTGTGGGTATATTTTTTAAAGAAGCTTCTTAGCTAATAATTTGAAATAATTTTAAAACAGCTGTTCTATTTCACACATAAATCTCTACTGATTCCGCTCGCTCAACATAAATCACTTCCTTTTATCAGTTATAAATTTGTGTTTTATTGCATTTAAAATTTGAGATTTATGGGACTCTTCTATCTTGGCTGGAATTAATAAATTTAGATCGCCAAGGTAACAAATTCTTTGGGAAATAATATTTATTATTTTACTGTCTAGTCATTAATATAATTTTCTATAAATAATGTATTTCAATGTTGCCGCTTTCCGTCGCCTGGCTGATTTTCCATCTGCGGCTGGCGAAAGTGTGCTCCACCCACCTGCCCACATTCCGCATTTGCCGCTTTTTTCCCGCATTTTCCCCGCTTTCTTCGCTTTTCCCACTTTTTCCGCCTTTCCCGCCTTTTCCTGTGTGTGTGTGTGCAGCATGTAAATGAAGTCTCCGCCTGCCTATCCGTCTATACACGCACACCAGCGCACTGGAAACACGTACAAGTACACAGGGAAAAACCAATAGCTCTATATGAATGGGATTTGCCACATATATTCTATTTATTTCATTTTAACGAGTTTATAATATCAATAGCACACGCATCTCAAACATATATTTCAGCCAGAAACATTTTCTAAACTAAAATGACACCAATTTCTTTCAGTGCACGTACAGTTTGAGCCGGAGTCGTTGCCTGATGTGTATTAATGCCGTGCGGGTGCCACATGCCAGATGAAAACAGTTCAATCATAATAAACTCTCAGTCAATTTTTAATGATACAAAAAGACAAATGTGCGCCCCCTTTCGACCCCTCGTCACGAGTTGCGGGTCAAAGGCCGCGTAAACAGATATAAATTGTTGCATATGTTCGGGCGCTGACTTAGTCGCCTCGTTTATTTGCATTTTTTTTTGGGTTTATCAGCAAGTGTGAATCTGTTTTGGCGGCTCGTTATATACCCATCTGCTATTCGTTCTGCTTGCTTCATTATTTTTATTTTTGTACTCTTCTATTTTCATTTAAAAATTGCAACGCAGTGAAGGGCAGATAACCAAGCCAATAATAATATATAAAGTATTTAAAGTGTCCAAAAACTGCACTTCTAAGCCCATAACTTTTCTTACAGACACCCGATTTCAAAGTGGCATACTTCAAAATGATCGTGGTTTGATTCCCTAAAAATCTGTGTTTTCAGTTTATTTTTTTTTTTTTTGGGTCGATTATTCGTTATTTTTATGATGTTACCCCTTTCCAAATTTTCAAAAAATGGGTTTGCTGAAAAGGGTCCAAAAACTGCACTTCTAAGCTCATAACTTTTCTTACAGACATCCGATTTCAAAGTGGCATACTTCAAAATGATCGTGGTCTGATTCTTTAGAAATCTGTGTTTTTAGTTAAATTTTTTTTTTTGGGTCGACTATTCGTCATTTTCATGATGTTACCCCTTTCCAAATTTTCAAAAAATGGGTTTGCTGAAAAGGGTCCAAAAACTGCACTTCTAAGCCCATAACTTTTCTTACAGACACCCGATTTCAAAGTGGCGTACTTCAAAATGATCGTGGTTTGATTCCCTTAAAATCTGTGT